TATATATATATATATATATATATATATATAAAGTCTTTCGAAAGGTATAAATATATATGCATGTCACCACTAGCTGCCTCGCACCGTGTTGTCGTCATTGTTGTTGTTGATGTCATTATTATGGAGTTACCAGTTTGTATTCCATTGTATTGCCCCTCTTTGAGTAACTCTCTATCCCCAGATCGTGTGGATGATCTAAAGAAATGAGAAACTGGAGGAAAAATGAGGGTGAATAGTAACGGGGACAAACAAAAGAGGAACAAGGGGAAAAAAGCTTTCATGCGGTAAAATTTACGTAGAGAGCTCCAAAATGTCTGATTGAGATAGAGTCGGTTCAAAACACTCTGGAGGGACACCTGCAAAGAAGTCCTCATGAAAAAAAAAACCCCAAAACCAGAGATTTTAGGATGTGATACCTATTATGGGTTTTGTTTCTACCTATAGGAGCAATCCCTTTAGTTAATTGCATCTTAAGCTACTGAAGATCGCTTAAGAACACTCCTAATTAAGGTTGCAACTTATCCTTAGAGTTTGAATGTCGTTATTTTCAAGGAAATAATTTCAACATCCTATCCTAAGAGTAGTGAATGCTGGAAGATTCAAAAGTATCCTATCAAGACTCCAAACTATTCTAAAGTTTTGTGTTGTTTTTAATGGTTTAGTTAAGGTTGGTTCTTTGCTCCAAGTTTTTGAATGTTTGTCCTTGTAAAATAGAGTTAGCACGCCCTAATACCTATAATGGGGTTTGCTTCTTCCTATAGGGGCAAGCCACTATAGTTAATTACTTCTTATGCAACCAGGGATCGCTTAAGAACACTCCTGATTAAAGCCACTAAATCTTGAAAAACTTTGAATGTCATTGTTTTCAATGAAATAATTTCAACTTCTTATCCTAAGAGTAGTGAATGCTTGAAGATTCAAAAGAATCATATCAAGACTCTAAACTATCCTAAATTTTTGTGTTGTTATCAATAGTTTAGTTGAGGTTGGTTCTTTGCTCCAAGTTTTTGAATGTCTGTCCCTGCAAAATAGAACTAGCACGCCCTAATAAGATGCAAAGTAAAGCTAGGGTGAAATCCACCTATCTTCAACAACTATACAAAAAAATATGAAATATTTTTTATTTGATTGGTTGGTTTATTTTTTTTTTTAGACAACCCATTTAAGATACCAATGACTTTCCATCTTCCTGGGATTATCAGGTTCCCTAATCTACTTAGTTCGAGAAGACGATAAGGCCTCTTCAAACTGAAAGATTCCTTTCAGCAACCATTTGTTGCGTCGTCCAAGAGATCTTTGTAGACCTGGTGACAGGGTTAAAGTTGTGTTCGGTGATCTTTGTTCAATAGGATTTCATTTAAGTTTTAACATCTTTTTTGCATTTTAGGGGTTGAAAAATTTTAGGTTTCTTAAGAAGTATTAGCTGATTAAGCTTTTGTGATTTTTTTTTTGTTTTATTTTGATTTTTAGGTATGACCCAATCAAGATCCCATGGTTCAGTCCTCTTGGGGTTTTTGGGGTTTGAGGTTTGATTAGTCACAAGTGACTGGAAGGTACTTTGTTAGCAGTCATGGGTTGCCTCCTCCAAAGTAACCTCTCAAACCAGGTTGCATTTTTTGTTCAAGTTTAAGTTTTAGTGGTTTTTAGGGTGTATTTTATGTCATGTCGGTTGATGTTGTACCTTAGCCAAAATTGTCCTGACCGACATTAAGTGTGCTTTTATTCTCATAAGAAGTCAAACACTCCTTAACTTCAAGCCAACTAAAGCTAAGATGTTTAGTTCAAGTCAAGTTGAGTTAATCAAGGATGAGCCCCTTAAACTAAGTCAGCTTGGGTACGCTAATTTTCTCTTAGACTATCTTTAAGCTTTGATCCAAGTCAACCAAAGTTTTATAGGATTGACTAAAGTTGGTTTAGTTTGATTGGGGTGAAGCTATACATACTCAAAGAGCCTAGCTTGGGGAATGCTGAGTTATTTTTAAATTGAATTGAATTAACTTACCCAGGCTAGACTGAGCTGATACAATTTAAACTTCCAGGGTTGAGTCAAATCTAAGTTAAATCTGACTTGTGTGAAGTGTGAGTTAATTTAGAATTGAGTTATTTTTCAATTTTGAGTTGGATCATACTTGAATTAATGCTGATCAATCTTGGTTTAAGACTTAATCCAAACTCAAAGTCGAGCATCAAGTCATGTAAATCCAAGTTAGGTTGGATTGATTCGAGAAAATGATTGATTTACGCCAACCCGAGTTAGGTCAGGTGACTTTGTGGATCATTTAATTTGTGTTGAACCAAGTTAGATTGGGTTGGCCCGATGGTTTAAGTTGGTTTGGGTTAACTTGAGTTAATTCGGGTTGATCCGGTGAGTTCAGTTGATTTTGGTGAACTCCAGTTAGGTCGGGTTGACCCAATATAATTAATTAATTAGGGTTAACCTGAGTCAGATCAAGTTAAACTGATGAATTCAAGTTAATTTGGGTTATCTAGAGTTAGGTCAGGTTGACCAAGTGGTTTGAGTTGATTCGCATTAACCTGAGTTAGGTCGGGCTGACCTGCTGGTTTAAGTTCTTTTGGGTTAACCTGAGTTAGGTTGGGTTGACCCGATGTTTTGAGTTGATTTGGGCTGACCTGAGTTAGGTCGGGTTGATCACTTTGTTTGGGTTAACCTAAGTTAGGTCGGGTTGATCTGATGGAATTGGTTGATTCTGGTTAACCCGAGTTAGGTGGGGTTGACTGGGTGAATTTGAGTTGATTTGGGTTAACCTGAGTTAGGTTGGGTTGACACGATGGTTTGAGTTGATTTGGGCTAACCCAAGTTAGGTTGGGTTGTTCTGGTGGTTTGAGTTGGTTTGGATTAATCTGAGTTAGGTCGGGTTAACTTGGTGAATTGAGTTGATTTGGGTTTAAGTTAAGTTAAACTTAAGAGAACTTAAGTACAAGTTAGGTTGGACTTAGGGAGATTTCAAGTTATGTCTAGGTCTAAGCTAGGTTAGATCTAAAGGAGGTTGAGTTTGGGCTAAATCTAGGTTATGTTAGACTTAGGCTAAGTCTAGATTAGACTAGACCTAAAGGGGGTTCAGCTTGAATTAAGTTAAAGCTAAGTTAGACCTAGGCTAGGTCTAGGTTAAGCTAGACCTAGGGTTTAGGTTAGAATGTGGGTAGACCTAAAAGGTTTGGGTTAAGTTAGGTCTAATGTGAGTCCGACCTAAGGTTTGGTTTAGGCTTAAGTCTAAGTTAGGTTAGACCTAAAAGTTTGAGTTAGGTCTAATGTATGTTAGACCCAAGGATGTCTATTAGGTCTAATGTGAGTTAAACCTAAGGTTTGGATTTGGTAATTGTCAGTGGCCAAATGGGAAGATTGTCGGTTACTTTAAAAAATGTAATTTAATATATATAGTTTATAAAAGTAATATTTTGACTTTTGAAAATACGAGACCATACCAATCTCTTATAGACGATAGTTTAAATAAACGAGCACAACACCAAAAGTGACACATCTATCCCGAGGAATAAATATATTACTTACTAGTGAAGCTCAATTAAAAAAACTAAAAAAATTATGACATCCATTTTTAGTCTGCAAAAACTTCTTATGTTGACCGACAAGTTCTCATATCTAATATAGAAGATTAGATAGGGTTTATATTAAGTTGGGTTCATAAATTTTCCTTTAAGGGCAAGCTCCCATAGTTAATTACTCTTAAATGACTGAAGTCACTCATCAAAACTCCCAATTTTGATCAGAAAACAAGGCCTTCAAGAATTTCAAAAAGGTTAGGATTCTCAAGATTGGACGAAGGAG